TAATAATAATTCAGATATTTTATGTATAAAACAAAATAGCCAAAAAAAAACAGAAAAAAATCAGCTATAAGTATCGGACCCTGATAAAAATATCAAAAATATGAAAAATTTTAATATTTTTAATATTTCTATCAGAATCTGATACTTATATCCAAATATCTAAATACTCTAAGTACTTCTAAATATTTATTATCACTACTTTATATTGATACTTTTATCACTAGAACTGTTTTCACTACTACTGCTTTTATTATCACTACTCTCACTATCACTGCTAATGATAATAGATGAAACTGGAGGTAATCATTTTTACATACAAATAGCCTGGCTTAACAATATATAAAATTATAATACAAGCTTTCTGATATTATATATCACTAGCTAAAAAAATTATATTTTAACTAAACAATACCTCATAATATATATATTACAAGGTATTGTTTAGTTAAAATATAATTTTTTTTAAACCAATGTATATTACCTCTTGATGATAAGGATAAATGTCTTCTCTTGCTGCCACTTGTTTAGGCCATAGTGCAGTTTCTTTTCTCTGGCTATTTTTTATATAAGACTACAATATCTCTATCCATTTTGAAAATGAAAGTATGAAAAAATAAAAAAAAAGAAGAAACTTATCTTTTTTATATTTATAACTTTTTAAAAAATTATGTATTGCTGGTATAAACGAAACAACAAAAAAGAATTGCAAAAAGAATTGCAAAATAAATTTTAGAGAAAATACATATATTTTTATATCATTTTATATTAATATTAGGAACCTAATATTTTAAAAAATTATATATTGCTGGTATAAGCGAAATAGCAAAAAAAGAATTACAAAATAAATTTTAGAAAAAATATATATATTTTCATATCATACTATATTAATATTGGGAACCTAATATTTTAAAAAAATTACGTATTGCTGGTATAGTCAAAACATCAAAAAAAGAATTACAAAATAAATTTTAGAGAAAATACATATATTTTCATATCATGCTATATTAATATCAGGAACCTAATATTTTAAAAAATTATATATTGCTAGTATAGGCAAAACAGCAAAAAATTAAATTGATAAAATAAATAATATTTTAATTGATTTTACAGTTTATTTTTTTGAGCAATTACATATATTTTCATGTCATGCTATATTAATATCAAGAATCTAACATTTTAAAAAATTACGTATTGCTGGTATAGATGACACAGCAAAAAAATAAATTGACGAAATAAATAATATTTTTAATTACATCAATATAATTGATTTTACAGTTTATTTTTTGAGCAATTATATATATTTTTATATCATGCTATATTAATATTGGGAATCTAACATTTTAAAAAATTATGTATTGCTAATATAGGCAAAACAGCAAAAACAAATTAACGAAATAAATAATATTTTTAATTACATCAATATAATTGATTTTACAGATTATTTTTTTGAGCAATTACATATATTTTTATATCATGCTATATTTTATGTACTTAATATTAGAAATTTTTATCAAAAAAACATGATATAAATTATGATAATTGAACTATAATTATACACTTAATATTGGGAATTTTTTATAAAAAATTTCCTGATATCTGAATTAATTATAACATATCTGAATTTTATAGCTCTGATCTATCATTACTTACTGTTATAGTATGTACTATTTAGCCAACATCACACTGAGTGACAATTTATTAAAAATATATTCCTAAAACTAACTCTAACCCTATATGTACATACCAGTAAATATAAAGATTATCAGAATAGATTAATAGTATAGTCAAAATTCAGCAGACCAGCCAAAATTTAAAGTCAAAATATATTGAAGTTATAGCAAAATTCATCAATTCTGACCTGAAATTTTGGCCGATCTGCTAAATTTTGGTTGCACTACTAATTTATTTGAAGGGTTCGAATCTCGATATTGATATCGATATTATTTATTTCTTATATTTATATTAATACCAATAATAAAAATCTAGTTGATATATAATCTATATATAAGTTAGAAAATAATTTTATTTAAATATATAAGATTAATACCAAATATATAAATATAATTAGTATGTATATTAATATAAAAAAGAATAAACTGATAAGGATATAATAAGTTAATAAAAATATAATTAAAATATCAGCATTCATAAATTGTACTTTCTATGTAATAGGATTACGGTTATATATATTTTAAAAGTGGTAGTATATATACTTGCTATAAACTGGAAATATATTTGATGTATGAGAAATTATGCAATCCCTGCTTAACTCACAGAATTCTTGATCTCACAACTCTATATTACAACTAGAATCATTATCACCTTTAATTTTTATCTAAAATCTAATTTCATAATCATCAGCAAGTTCATACCATCTTACAAATATGAGATAATATGTTTGTGCATCTGAAGGAAGATAGATAGTGTGGTCAAAGTAGAATTGAACTTAATCAGAATATGAAACTACTGTTTCATCCTCTGTAGCAACAAACCTCACCAAAATTCTTGAGGATTTGATTTGGTGAGCTGAGAATATAGATTCAAAAATTTCAGACCCTAATTTTAATCATCTATATTGAATAATATTGGGAAATACAGATATTTGTTCAATTTCTGATATTTGTCCAGGCTTGGTAAATTGAAAACCTTCTACTGTATTATTATAGAATGCAACTAAAAGATCTAAGATATCAGAATCTAATATAGAATTTTCTGATTTTGGACCAAGAAATATACCAAAAAGTGATTCATAACTAAAAGCTTCTCTCTTGTCAATAATTATAAAATTGAAGAAGATCTTGTGATTCAAATTTATCTGAAATATCTATGCTACTACCTGATATTCTTCCTTTTATTATTATTAGAGAATCAGATAGTCTTTTATCATTTTTAGCATGTAATACAATTTTATCTAAACAATTATTTGTAAGAATAATTCTTAAAAGTTCTGGTTCTATATTTCTTTAGCTAGTCTTATATGAGCCTATAAAATATAAATATCAGTATTATTATATAAATATCAGTATTGTTATATAAATATTAGCATTTTATATAAATATCTGTATTGTTATATAAACTATATCAATATTTATAATAATGTTCAATATTATCTAAAATTCTGTTCATTCGCTCAAAAGAAAAACACCAAAATGAATATAATGTATCATATTGTACATGTTTTTCATATTGAAAACATACAATCCTTGCTGATATTTGTCCACATAACTTTTTAGCAGCTGGAATATCATATTAGTAGTATATAATAGCACATTTAATTTTTTTGTCTATAGGAGATTCGTATGTTGAGATTTCTATTCCACTCTACAATTCAAGTAATTGATTAACCAAAAGTTTAAGATAATGATTAATATAGTGTGTTTTAACTACTTTAGGCCTGGCAATAATGCCAAGGTTAGTATATTTTGCGGCTTGAATCTGAGTTCACAAGGCAAATTACAAATAACTACATATATTGCATAGTAAAATATGTAGAATTTTGGAAAGGACTAAACTAGTCCAGATTAATCATAAGGCCAAGATGTGTATCAGCATGCTCTGAAGTAAAGAAATTTGTATCTTGATCTTTAAATATTTTCTAAATATTACTTTCATAGATATCAGCATATTTTTCTTTTAACACATTTTCTGCATAACTCCTCAAAACTAATTTGACTATATAATAACTGGAGTTGATTTTGAATATTTATTATTGGATAAGTAAGCAAAAGGTGATACAATATTCTATTCTTGGTAGATACATCTTTTGCTAATTGTTGATTGCAAGGTTGCCTCATCTTAAATATTGGGTAGTTAAGATATTCTACAAAATTACAATAAAGAAACATCAGGATTTGTTCAGGCTTTTTTGTTATTATTTTATCAGGATCATACAACTTGTTACATGCTGAGCATGTTCCCTATAAAAAAAGTTTGTTCAATTATTGTAGGCATTGTGCAAAAAAATGTTCGAAACAGAGTCGATTATCTGAACAGGGTTTATTTTTGTACTGTTTTCATATTGATGTTTTTACGGGATATAAAAATAGAAAATTTTTGATTAAAAAATTATCGTATAAAAATAGATAAAAGATTTATAAAAAATATATAAAAACATGAACATCCAATAAACATCCTTTAAAATGTTCAGAACAGAGTCAATTTTCTGAACAAAAAATAGAATAATTTTAGAATTTTCCAAACAATTACAAGAGATTTTTTTTTATAGGGGTTGTATAGTTATTTATGTATAGACCCAATCCCATTAACTTTCAGGCCAAATAGAGTGATTCTAGAAAGTTTTGAACCTGATTTTGGTCAAGATAAGTTAATAGAAAATGTATAAATTTGATTAATGATTCTGTTGTAATATCAGCAAACCAATATCTCTGTTGGTATCTCAAAATCCAAATTAATATACAACCAAAATCTTGATTAAGATTTCTAATATCTTCAAAATTTTTTTCATTACTACTATCAATATTAGGAGCTAAATAATCTAATATAGTATCTTCATCATCACTTTCAGGCTCTACTTTTGTAATTTCTTCATTATCAGAGATATTTAAAGTCTCAAGAACAATAGCGATATTGGGTTGTTCTCTAATTATAGCTTTTATTTTTTTCTATTATTTTTAGTTATAAAAAATGATTCTTCTTGAAGAAATGATTCTTCTTGAAGACTAAGATCAATTAAAGTAGAGAAAAGTATATTAGTTTGAGATGCACCACTGCTTTCTGTTTGAAGATCTGTAAAAAAAAAGAAATCATCTCTAGGTTCAGCAGAACCTACTAATTCTTCATACATTTTATATTTTTCAATATGCGCATCTCTTGTTTAGGGATCACAGGGTTTTTTTTAACCTTTGCACACTTTACATGTACAAATAACTTTTTTTCGAGTTTTTACTGCAGATATTTTCATAAATAACTGATGACTATGTTTTATTTTAAAAAATATTTTAGTGATTGTAGTTTTAGAGGATGTTCTATAGAATATGTAGGCAAACTCCACAAACTCTGCAACTCCGCTATTAAAAAATTAATGATTACTAATCATTAGCAAAGCTTATTTCTTATTTTGCTCACCTATTCTATAGAATATCCATTTTAGATATTAGATAGTAAGGCAGACAAGTGGTCTTTAAATACAGAATTTTTTTATGTAGCTATACTTTTTAGCAACTACGTTAAAAACAATTATTTGTAGTAAGTGATTACAAAGAGAGGTACGAAAGATAACTCATTAAATTATTTATTAAATTTCCTTTTATATCTCTTTGAAATAACTTTTCTAAAATTACAGGAGGCATTTTTCATTACAATTTACTCATACTATTTAAAAATTTCCTATTATTATAGTATCTTATTTTTTTCTTCAAATTATTG